TATTTCTTTAATTAAATGTATATTACCTCGTGGGAGTTGTCCTGTCGTGGTTTAATCGAACCACTTCTTACTCGAACACCATCATGGTAACCGTCGCCATGAAATGTATGCCGAGTGACAGGGTGTGTTGCTGCTTTAATGAAATGTTCAGCGGTTGATATTTTGAAAGGTCTTTAGTCCTGACGCTTTTGACTGGGCAATAACTATAAAAACGGTTCGAGCTAACTCGCCGAAATCAATGGCGTCACGCATAAAGACAGTTACATCTCGGACTTGTAATGCGGTTCGCCCGTCACGGACAGTTACCTAAAAACAGTTACAGGCAAAAGGTTTGTCGGTCAATTATCCCTTAAAGGAAAATTAAGACGATGTCTGTGAACATGAAAATCTGCGAATGACTGAAGTACGTTTAAAAATAAAGAGTATTCACAGATTTTCTCTTTCCCGTTTCAAATGTCATTAAAGTAAAAAATATATACCACTGGATATCGATATAACAATACTGTTGGCATTTCCGGTTTTTGTTGTTTGTTGTTGTTTTGTTTTTCTTTTGGTTTTGGCTGGTTTGTTTGACTACTGCTTTCTTATTTTATATGATGTCTTCCCCGATATTTCGGTGTCGTTCGGTTTCTGTGCTAACATTTTCGTACCAACTTCCGGTATGGCTCCCTTGTGCTTCCAATGTTGTATATTATTTTCTTTAACATATCGGAGTTTGAAGGGAAGTGACGTTAGTCGTTTTGTAAATTGCTCATATCAAGTATCTTGTTCATCAATGGTAATGTTTGTTGCGATCCTTTGCTAATATTAATAAAATAATTTTTATATATTTTACAAAAATTATGAAACAAATTATTTCAACTTACGTTACTCACTCTTGTTAGCTAGAATGTTAGAGCGCAGAGGGTCTTAATGTGGGAGGAAACCGGAAAACCCGGAGAAAACCAACGTGGTCGGGAAAGTAACCCAATACCTTTTCGCGTCCGATCGGGGAATCGAACCCCAGTCGCCTTGGTGGAAAGCGAGTGCATTAACCACTGCGTCAACAGACCACCTATGTTGTTAGTGTTTAAAAGATGCGTTTAAAAGCATTATACAATTCGATTTGGTCTTTCAGCGTGACATATTTTTGTTCATGACTATCAAAATGAAAAACAGACATTTTTTTGGAAGGGAAAATGGTCGTATTTTCTAAGGGCACCATTTCTGACAGGTTAAAAACAGTAGCTTGCGGAATGTAAAAATAGGCATTAACGCCTCTTTCTTGGTTTTAAAAATCATACTGAAGATAATTTGTTCATTGTCACTAAAAATGTAATGACCGCAAACTGTTTGGGCCATTCTCAACTTCACTGGGTTCAGATTAATCCCAGACTGAGCAGCAAAGGAACAATTAGTTAGGAAACAAATTTCGTTAATAATTTAATCAGATAGAAATACAAACCCTTACTTCCATAGACAACCTTTCTGTATACCAGCGCATTACATCAAGGAGCCTTTCCTGTAGAGGAAAGCCTCTACAAACGGATATTAAATCATATTCTGAGAAGTTTTAAATGACATTTTCATAAAGGCATGAAAAGCAGTATACCCAGTGCTGGGATAATAACGCTGGTTTCGAAAAGTTACCCCATTAAAGACAATCTCCACTTCAGTGGAGCCGGACAAGCATCGAGGATTTGATACCTACCCAGAAGGAGCATTGATGTTCTTGGTATTAATAGCAACATCGTCGTTTATATTTATGTGATTTCGTTTTGTTTTACTTCTTTATGCGACATTTATTGTATGAGTTAATCGTCCCCGATGTCTTCTAGTGAAACGTTCACAATATCATGTGAAGGCCTTTCAGCTGTCCATTCTAAAACGTTTTGGGAAAAAATGCAATTTTGTCTTCCTATGGAAACGGGAAACGTGTACCGTGTTGCCACAATGTACAGTGTCATTCGCATACTTAGGATACCACTATTCACAAGGCAAGAGAAAACATGCATTTTTTTTCTGTGGGAAAAGGATTTACAATAATTATATGAGTAACCTCTTACAAGCGTCAGCGGTGGGAAGCGCATCCCAGATCACAATGTACACCAGCATACCGTCTCCAGCACTCACGCATACACTTCACTCACGGATGCACATCCCTAAATGACCGTAACTGTTATTAAAACGCTAAATAAAATAGAACCTTTACATATCTAAGGCATTGTTGCTATTATCACTGTATGTACATTGTATTTGTCTTTTGACTCTTTATCCTATTATTCATTTATAGGTAACACAGTCAGCGTGAACACAAGGCGAACACAGTACCTTAGTGACGAGTTTTAAAGATGCGTAAAAATGCAACGCTGCCCTCTTTCTCTTCGTGATAAAGGTTTTACGTGGTCGGGCTTGCGTTTAAAGGGGTGTAACTCGTTTTACGCTATCTACCGTCTCTGGAAATCGTCAGCATCATGAATAGGATCGCAATAGATTAAAATGACGGGTCCATGTATTTTACCGTATAAAAGAGTTCGTCATTGATGCATGTCAGTGCTTTAATTAACGAGACAAAAGCAAACTACAAAGAGGTGGGATACGGAATGAGTTTAACGGTGTGTTCTCCTTTCTCCCACTTTAAAAAAAAACATAGAGGCAGTAATGTTGTGATAGCAGTTATAGTCTGTTTCATATACATTTTACCTAGTTTTTACCTGTGTTCTCCCACATTACCTGTATCATTTAATTGATTTAATTTAGGTTGAAGCAAATTCATATTGGAGCATTATTTTCAGAGAATCTTTTTTACCAATAATGCGTCTTCAGTGTAATCATTGATAACTTAGTATCACTCATTAGATTATTTTCCCCTAAAACATAATCATTAGTTATGTTTCTATTTGATAACCCCATATGGCTTGGGTCCACTGATATTTCTAGTTGATAAAAATGAATCTATATACTGACCGTTTGCAGAGCGATTGATCACTATTAATAGATATTCATTCTCTGTCCGGTAATAAAAAGTGAATAAATTTCATAACCTAAATGTTCGTCACTTAATTGATGCTGTGGTGAATTAACAAGTGAGATTAAAGTATATAAGGAAGTGGAGGGTGAGGTCTCACACATTCCCCGTCAACCACCAACATTGCAAATGCACGAATTCAAGTGACGTTTCTTCGGAACAAGTTTGGAAGACAGAACATCGCCTACAACGGATGCATTAACTGTGTTAAGAACAACAGAGGTGAGCGTGTATGGTTCATTGGTTCATTGATTATGACACCGTTGTAAGCGTCAGTCGCTTCTTGAGGTGCTTCTTAATTATGTCCACTTCACTTCCGGTTGCATTAGGAGGTATTGAAGAAGACTTGTTTCTCAATAAGTAGTGAAAATTATTTACAGGTGCAGTGGGTGATAACAAGGGTAGTATCATAATTTCATATAAGATAAGGGTATTCAGTTATAAAAAAAAAGGACTGACAGGCCTGTATAGACCTGTCATGATACCTGTACTTAGAAGTATAGATATTTAAAGGGTTTAATGAGTTAAAAAAAAGTACTGAATTTGGATTGAACATTTGGGAAGTTGTATGTGTTAATTATATAACCCAGCTAATTATGAAGCTTGGTTCGAACTTGATGGGGTGATTTATCCAGTATTTGTTTAACCTGGTCTTAAGAAGAAAACAGGGATAGGGCATTAAATAACCACTTGATCAGAGAGACCATTCCAATCATTTACAATTCTAAATTTGAACGAATGGCCACGCAGATTACTTCTACACTTCAGTTTTTCAAGTTTCTGGTTGTGACCTCTGGTTGTTCTTGTTGCATTGATTTTTAGAAAGTCATCTTTGATGTTGTCTATCCCATTTATTATCTTAAATAATGTATATTGGAGATGTACCATCCCAAAACGTCCAGCTACCCTTAGTACCCGAAACAACATCCCTACTGGAAACGGCTGCCATCCCCACAACCACCCACAGGACCATGCTAAGATCGTCGCCCAGGAGATTATTGAGACCATTTGTACCCGCTGCGTGAAGGAAGTGAAACCAATTCCCAGATTCTACGAGGAGGAGGTAACCAAGCTTCGATCCGATTATTGGAACGACGACACAGAGAACACGGTCAGACAACTACCCACCCTCGGTCCAGGAAATACAAGTCAGCAACGAGATAACGCGCATCCAACACGCAGAGCAACTGAAGAGCAAAAAGCTACCGTAACATCGACAGCCTCCTTAACTGACTAAAGGAACGACACAGCATCCCATCTTTTGCGTGCTTGTTATGAAATTTTTATTTGGTGCTTTGCTAGGATTTCTTAAAATTATGGACTTTTCATTATCTGTGCTTTTTATGGACTTTCCAATATTTCACCTTTAGTAAGTTAGTGCTATTATATTAGTTTTATATCATGTATCTTTGTGCATGTGTACATTTTAGGAATATGATTGATTTGATCAACCAGTGCTAAGTATTCCATGCGTACATGTAATTAATTTTGTTTTATTTATTTGTATTCCTAGCTTTTGCATCTGTTTTTGCATATTTAATAATGTAATACATGATCTCTGTCTTTACTGATTATATTTGTCATAAATTGCTTGCTAAATTTAGTTATATTCTATGAAATATATATATATATAACATACATGTATGTAAATGTATAGTAAAAATGTATAAAATTGATTCAATATGAAATTTATAAAGGCAGGTTTTCAGTTAATGTATTTGGATGTGTTTTTATAAAGTAATAACTGGAATCTTGTATATATTTATTCATAATTCAGTAAATATTACGAAAATCAGGAAATATATTTGTTAAATATTCTTATAACTAACACAATATTTCCTATTAGTGAACAGGTAAATAATCTACCTGTGCTATACCAGAACAGACTATAATGACATCTCTATTGTTTTCCAGTGTTTATATAATTCCTTTGATCAGAAAAAGAGTGGGAGAAAGGAGAACAAACCAGTTTAACATACAACAAAGTCAGTTATAACGAAAACATACCATATTTAACACCCTTTATTTCAAAACGATAACTCCACAATAATTTTGAAATGCCTTTAGCAGTATTTAGTAAAAGAATATCTATAAAAAAATCTGCTTAAATATTTGACATATGGTAGATTATATTCGATAACGTGTAACGTTACTCTTCATGCAAATACATATATGTACAATTATACTTAAACAAAAGTAATAACAAAACATTATTGAAATACTTTCCAGTTGTTAGGAATAAAGCTTTTAGATATTTTTGATAAAACAAAAAAAAACCATTTTGCCACTGCAGTGAGGATATGCTTCATTGTCAATTTGATGAAAACATAACATCACTGCAGTGAAGATATGGTTTTCTCGAAATAGATAATTTCTGCTATGTGACTGGTAAAATGTAATAAACCACTGTTACATTACGATAATGAGACCTATACAAATGATTTGGTCAATCTCATATTCATTTATTTGGTATTTAAAATTCTGTCAATTCGCAAACTTCATGCAATCAAATCTTTTCATTTGTTTCGTGATAAAACAATGACAACGTTTATGTTTTCAACAGGAAAATGGAATGAACAGTAAATTGAATATAAACCAACATTTGTATATCGACAGTGTGTACCACTCCAACAGAAATATAAACTCACCAGGATATAAAACAGCAGTCGAGATTATATGGCATTTATTACAGACACGACTAGAAACAGCTTACAACTCACAGTAAACAATCTTATTCTATTATAAGGACTACATAAATACCTTCACATGTCTAAAAAATATAATTCAACGTTAAAAGAAAATGAAGACATCTTTACATGTCAAAAATGCAATTATTCTTTAAGGAAAATGGAGACAGCCTTATTTATCTAAATAATATAAAAGTTAAGCAAGTGAATTGATAAACTTTAAAGAGGGTTTCCATCACGTGTATGCTATCAGCCGGGTCGTAAATTTTGGAGTAATAAGGTTTTGTTAATTCGTTACAGAGACCTATTATACAGTGCAATCCGTCTACCTTAGTGCCCTATCTTTAAGATCGAGAACATAATATTAATCATATTTTGATAATTCTTGCATACTTTTATTACACTCGACGAATTCGTTTAAAAAACAAAACACAAGCAAACTAATAAAAATCGCCCATGACGTCAAACAAAGGATAGTAAAAATAGGCGCATGACGTCAATATCCTCTATTTACGACTACTTAAATAAGCACACGTCATCAATTCTCTATCTACGACTAGTAAAAACAAGCGCATGTCAAAAATCACCCATTAACGACGAGAAATAAATAAGCGTGGAACGTAAATAACAATGTCAAATGTGGAAACTGACAAATAGAGAAATACTTTTCATATTAAGTTTTGAGTAAGAGTTCTTTCCCTTGGATCTCTCGGCTATTAACGTGTACAAATTGTAATCAATGTAAAATAACATAAGAATTATGCCAGTTGATTGGATATTTCGTTCATAATCTAAAAGATTGAGAGACAATATGGTACTATATATTAACCTAAATTCACAAAGTACAATGTGCCAACCACATTCAAATTCCCGATATATTACACTCATAAATTTATAGTCATTTCTAATTTTAAAATTAAGGTGTAACACGGTTCTCAGTATTGCGGACAGAGGAAATCAGTAGAATTTGTTTAGAAAATCCAGACGAACATGGATCTGATCAAATGTATAGACGACTTACCTTTGAAAAAATATTATTATCAAATACCTGAATACTTGGTAACATTTATATTTGCAATTTATCTTTGTGTATATACATATAAAGTTTGTAAATATTATGGATGGAATGATACTAAATTGTCCTGTCACACTGTTTCCAGAGCACACTCTTAAAAACTGAAACTTTTCAATACTGTCTATTTATAAAAATGACGTCATCGGGAACCATTTTCAATCGGCAGTTAATGATTTCCCAACTTTCTTCAGCGCATCCTCAAGGATAGTCAAATCACCTGTAAAGCACACAGAAAGTACAAATTCACTTTTCATGACACAGAAATATCGTTAAAGCAGGTAACTCATGCAATGTTTATGTTTCAATTAAGACACGTCGACGAATATAACTGATTCTGATTTTATTCTATAATACAACTTAGATAAACAAGAGATCCCAGAGGTCTCTCGGCGCCCACCATTGTACCATCTTCGTTTAGTTCTTTGTCAGTTTGATCTTTTCTCTTCTTTTCCCGTATCTGTTTGATCGAGTCATGTTAGCGTTAAATGCACCTTGATTTAACTTTTGATCTAAACTTAATAATGCTGTGCATAAAAGAACACCTTCAAAATGAGTTTGTCATTTCACATATTTACCAGTACAGTACTTAAAGCGAAAGAAATAGAACCGATCATTACAATATGAGAAATAGCGATAACAAACCTTCACTGTCAAAATCCAAGATGTCTGCCTGTCGGCCATTTTGTTTATCTGATCAGTCTTAAAAGTGACCATTTACAACAAGGTACCAGGGGAAACCTACATATAAAACTTGAGAAAGATCCCCCGGGTACTTCCTGAGAAAAAGCGATAACCAGAAATGTTTAAGGACAGACGACGGACAGACTGACGGACCACGGACGCAGGGCGATTTGAATAGTCCACATCAGATGATGGTGGGCAAATAAAATGAACTAAGCTACGGAATCTCAGCTACAAATAGACATTTGTTGTTGACTTACTTTAACATGTCATACATGTAGATATATGGCTGGCCTATTTACACGAATCGCGATCATATCAACATGTTTATGTTTTTGATGTCTAGCAATTAAAATTACTAACTCATGGATAAGATTAGGACTCGTAGTCGACATGAAGCACCAAGGAAATATCAACACAACAGGGAAAACAACACGAACCTCTATAAATACGAAAAACTAGTTTATAATCGTTTTGATAATAACAACTTTCTATCCATTCTTTGGTACGTTTCACAGCTGTTTCTTGTACATTTATGACATTTTTGATTTTTACAATTTATACTCTACAAACTATTACTTACAATTTACAAAGCCATCCTATCTCCACAAGTTTAAGGAAAAACAACAGACCTGAGACAAGTATTGACTTTGACATGATAGATTCGTTTGTCACATTATTTTGCTGGGACATCTTCAATTCTCAAACTCAGGATTCAAATTTGTTAAGACAGAAGTCATGAGGATATTGATCTGATAAACTCTTAATTCTGAGAACCAAGTTGTAAAATAAGTTTCTTACTTTAAATATTTGCGCTTTGATAAAACCGTTATAGAGAGCACTGACGTCTCATTGCTTTGAATGCAGACCACCTTATCGCAAGTGTTATCGCAGTATAGTACAGTAGTTCAAACGGTGGCCTTACCGGTCAGACTCATGCCAAGGTCTTTGTTTAAGTGTAATGCAGATATAACGTAACCTTGTACATTAACAAAGACTGGATATAGGACAAAGATATACATGTACTTGGATGTTCAACAAATGTTTGTTCTTTACCGATATTTAGAATATCACTTGCCAAATCCGACTACAAAAACACAATGATAAATTACCCACTAGAAGGCCTAATGACAGATAACGGACCAATCGTTTAAACCGTACAGATACTAAGCGATCAATTAGTCCCACTAAATGTATCTCCTTTAACCAGACAAACACAATGTAAAATTGTGAAAATGTTCGTCTAAATATCTCAATGGATTCATCTAAAGACATAAGTAGAACTAATCAGAAAGTAATTTTCAACTGGTGCTTAAATTTATCAAAAGTCCGTCAGTTTGCTAAAAAAGGCAAGTTATGAGCTAAGCTATGAACGTTCATGTCACTGAATATATACATTACATTTACTCCTTACGTGACACAATACTACAATGTACCTTTAGATGGCTTGTTTCAGAAAGAAATTATTTAAATTGTATGTGAAAATTGTTTTGAAACCGTTCTGAAAACAAGGATAGGGAGATAGTCCTTGTTTCCCATCTCCGGGCAACTTTGGTACCAAAAATGAATAAGGAGTACTACTCGGTATATATTGGGGATACGATCCGATTTAAGTACATTCTAAGAGGTTGAACTCTTATACAAAATTTGTCAATTGTAGGTGATAGAGTTTACGAGATATCCCCAGCAAAGTACTTCGTCTACATATCACACCGGCTATGGCGATGAACTCCGGCTAAACAATATGTCTAAGTGACTGACAGACTGACAAACGGTAAGGGAAAGCTGAAGTATGTGATCGTTGAATGAAAACCTGATTTCCTAACTATAAGTAAAAGTAAACGTTCACAATTTTGTTTTGGAATGGTTCTAGTCTACTAAACTTTGCTGTTAGTAAAATTTCCACATGAATGACTTAAACCCGAACTCTACCTTTGATGGTCCGCGTCAGGCTCAGGAGCTGGTTCTTGTTGTCAATGACTTCCACTGTCTGTGTGTAGGGGTTGTACCTGACACTGAAGGGTCGGGGAATCGTGTCCGCGTATGCTCTGAAGACGTTCAAAAAGTCACGTGATCAAAGTCTTCATTTCAATCAAACACACAATGAAAGTGTCGTCATTGGACTTTTAGGAAAATCATCCAGCAGAGAAATACTTAAGTCAAATATAAAATTCCATACAAAGAACAAAAACAGCTGTATAAAAATCGCAAAATTATAATATGATGTTTCAAAATTATAGAAAACGAAAAAAATAAAAAAATAAAAATTTAGAATTAAAAAGTCAAGAAACGGCAATAAAACGTATCCGAGACAGAAATAAAAACAAAACCAGGTATCATAATATCACTCACGTCATCTTTTCCTTGGCCTCATCGAAGCTGCCGGCGATGAAGTACACGGGCTGGAACTCGGTAATAGGGTATTTCTGTTCTGCAGTCTTGGAAGGTTCGAACTCCTTCAGGGCGGGCTTATCCGTCAGGCAATACTATAAATAAAATAGCGTGTTCAGTCAATGACTTTATAGTATACAGTGTAGTAGTGAATAAAATCAAAACAATAAAGTAATATAATAATAATATAAAATCAATAAAAGGTAAGTGAGGAAATGGAGATACAGAAGAAATAATTAAAAAATTCGAAAGTGACACAATAAAGGTTCAAAGAATTACAAAAATTGTGAACAACTGACCCATTTGGGTTTTTTCAATGACACCTCAGCAGAAGAAATTAAAGAATGCCTTAAATTCTGCAGAGACGGGGCATTTTAGTCTCCACATACAATCATAAAGTGGGGCACATGGTCGAGATCCAATGTTCGCCAGGTCTATCCTACACCGTACTACCAAAGTGTTTTTCGATCGTGATCCAATGTTCGCCAGGTCTATTCTACACCAAAGTGAGTTATTTTCGATTAAGAGGCAATGTTTGATAGTCCATGTCACGATAAAATTGACCATGTTCATGATAACAAACCTGAAGTTCGCCAAATGATGACAGAAGACCAGCCCCGAACGCCTTCACCTCTCCCTCCTGTCGGCAGAGTCCGAACTCCACCGTAAACCAGTAGCACTGTTAACAGACAAACGTCTTTCTCAAGCTATGATCATCTTAATGGGAAAAACATTAATAACACACCATATCCCGACATAGAAACAGTGTGAAATATGGACATATGAGAATGTTAGATTGGGATGCTGTGCCTGTCGGTGCAAAAGCATTTTGTTTCCGGACATCTTAGACTTAAATGTCAGTATTGAAGGTCATTTATTCCGCTCATTGGAACAGTGTCAGCAAAGCAAATCAGGTACTACATTCGTCTGCTTTATTGCATAGTTCGGTCAATATTACCCAGTTAAAAAAGGTCAATAACAAAACATTATGCAGTATATGGAAAATTGCTAAAAATCAATGTTAATTCACTACGGACATTGGAATATTGCCAAAAAATAAAGAGCAATAGTAACATTAATTTAAAGACAATAAAAGTGAATTACTATATTTCTTATGGGTTTACTTAACATGCAAATAATTAATTCAATAAGTAAATAATTCCAAGAAATAAATCAATTAAATCAAACACAAGTCATTGGAATATTCCAAATATGTAGTAATTGACTTGCATTATCGGAAATATGCCAATAATTGCAGTTATTGGCATATTTCCAATAATGCAAGTCAATTGCTACATATTTGGAATATTGCCAATAATGAATGAAAATTACTATAATTATTGACCAAATGTCATTAATGAAAATTAATTACTTCAATTACTGGAATATTGACAATAATAGCAAGTTAACTACTATGATCAACGTATAAGGTTTTTGCTAACTACCTGCACACTCAATTACAGAGGGCACTTCATAATTCTATGTCTATTTCTACTCCTACTGTTGTACTATAACTATTGTCATGCAATTAAATACTTATAATAGTTCTTCTTACCGTTGCGAGTTTCTGGATGTACTCATCTGGGGCGCCGAGACTGGCCAGCCCGATCTCCTGTGAGAATCGCGCAAATATCGGATCTGCCAGGAGGGGCACGTGACCGATCAGCTCGTGACACACATCTCTGAAATAGCAAATAAGGAAAACATGATGTTATCTGAGCACAATTTCCATGTAAATATTGACAACATATTATATTATAATCAAATATTGACAAAGCATTGAATTATGATAAAACTGATTAAAACTAGTTTGTGTACTAAACTTTCCAATATAGACGTTAATTTAAGCACAGTAGTAATTTACAGTGTAGTTAATTAGGATGAGTGGGTATAATCTGCAAGAACCTTACCGATTCATGTTTTGACGATATATAGTTCCCTACTGACTGAAGCTATCATACAAGAATTCAGTCTGGATATCTAATTGTTTTAAAAAGTAAGGTAATCCGAGTAATTTCACACAAAATTTATTCACAAATAGGATAGAGTCATCTAACATAAAATGAGTCAATAAACTACTTATATTAAGGTATTTGACGTCCAAGAAGAATGTCTATGTTTTCCCTTCGCTTAAAGTGATTGATTAATTTGTTTTTGACTGCACAGCTGACCTTATGTTGGAAAACATACACGCCAAAGAAAAACTTCTGACCATATATTTTTTTTTATTATACGACATGAGGTAAAATACTTGTCCTTCGGAGGCGAGGAAAGTACAAATGACTTAACGAAAGCAACTTTAAGTGTATATACTATCTTAGAGTGGCATGCCAACCCTTTTCAAAGGAATTCCGTTCAATCTAAAACATCTAAGTATCTGCAAGGAATAGCAATTTGCAGTTGGTAAATTCATAAAGGGCAACAACTCCAAATCACAGGTGTACCACATAATGTAGCGTATATTCTTTAATCAAACGTAGTATGATAACTGTTTTATCTTTTTGATACACTTACGGCTCAGGAGTGTACATAGGTTTCGAGCTATGACGAATGTATTGCGTTGCATGGAACACTCGGAAAGCCAAACCGGCCAGGAAATCCCGGGATGACAGTAAACCGGCAACTGGTCGGACACTGAATCCGGAGCAATCTACAACGGAACATCATTTCTGGTCAGTTGACAAATACTATCCCAGATCTCACATAGTTTTACTTCTAAAAACACCGTCAGAGTGTTGAAGTTTATAAGACCCATCGCTTTGCCATTGACGTTATACAATAATCATTAAACCCCAGTTCATCTACCCCCACCGCATCGCCTAACCCAGTTTGATTCCCTGCTCGCAGGTTTGATAGATTTAGACAAATAAAACGAAATATAAGGTGAAATGTTCTGTAACCTTTAAGGAATTTGGAGATGTCCTCGAGCTGGGGAATGTTGTCCCGTCGGTAACCACAGTTCTCCTCCAGGAGTGGAAAGATATGGTTAAACTCCCGACAGGCGTGTGTAGGGAAGAGTTCCGTCAGCTTGTCGTATATCGTTGTCCTACAATACACATCAGAGACGAAGCGATGTACTACAGAGCGGCTTAGGTGTACAGGTTTACTTTTGTTTTCCAATAGACAATTTAAGTATACAATGCATTTATGTGAATTAAAGTAAACATGAATGTTTATGACGATGACAATTATTTATTGCAGTACAATTAACTGTTATGTAAGAGAGTGTAGAAAGTTACGTCATGAGAACGTTAGATAAGCTTCCCTTCATTTACAGCAAGTTTAGGACCACTTTTATAATCTTTTTTTTTTTAAATTCAAAAGTACCAAAATATTTATTTTTTTTTTCTCCTTTTTTTTCCCCCCCCCCCCCCCCCCTTTTTTTTTTAATACGATTGTAAATTGTTTTCATCTGTATCGGGTAATGAGACTGCGGTACAGGACGGCACTTCATTACGACAGGTAAATTAGCATTTACCTTGATGTTTAGCAGGGAATACACTAATACAGGGTTATTTTTTATCGAATCATCCAGAAGGTAGATTAAAGTAAAACGTCCGTCATGAGCGTGTACATGATTCAGTATATTACCACCCGCACTGTAAGCAAATATCGTACATCATAATCACGTGACTACACATACTTGAGACAGATCGACGTGACAAATGGGTAACATCTGGTTTAAAAGTCGATCTGACAGTACAACTTGCAAATAGTGTCACCAATCCCCTATTGGGAATCGACATTCAGTCTAAACTCTAAACTAACGTCTGTCTCACGAATATGAAATAGAGCGAGGAGAAAATAGCTGGCATTCCACTATTATAGCGATATCGACAACTGTCACACTTGGAGAGTTTTGAGTTAAATATGTCTTAATGTTATACTGTTATTATAATAACTGCTATCCTTTCAACAGAATAAAATATATGATATGTCGCATGGAATATACTTCAACGCGACATATCAGTAAACGGGAGCGATGGGAAGATATAATTTTAATTAGATTGCAACATTTTAAAACTAATGATGGAAATAAAACTTAGTGAACGTTACAAAATGTAAGCAATATCCGTCACAAATATTATGTAACGTAGCCTATAGCACGAGCTACTAGTATCATACTGACAAATAAACATCAGTGAATGGATATGTCGTACAAACAATAAAACAGTGTGTCATGATATCCGTCATAGGTATCCAGGACCAATTTTCAATTTGCCACAAAAAAATGTTCCGGACGACAAATTTTGGTATTTTCTGTATACTGACAAACATGTATTACACATGAAATAAATCGGGAGTACCCACCATGTTTTGATTTCCGCGGGTGTGTAGGTTACACGCGGGATAGCCTGTCCACTGAAAGAGAAATAGTTATCCTCAGTAAAGTATTACCACCGTATCTCATATCAAATCGAAGTTGTTGTTTTAAATTGACATCTGCATGCAAATATGAAATAATGTTGTTGTTTTTCTATTTTATTTGGTTATTTCCGTCTGTTTAAATTTTGTATTGGGTGGGATATATACGTACTACTTGTAGTGGAAAGCTATGTCGGCGAACTCTTTCCTCCTTGCTCTGTATACACTGTCGGTAAATCCCTGAAATACAACCATGATAAAATAGTTCAAAATAACCACAGCTGTTATACTTTCTACTGTGAAGTGTCGTAACAGGACGTCCAGGTGTATAGACGAGAAATCAAGACAGACAAACGGACATGGTGTAATATAACTAATCATACTGAACCTATAGGTTTGTAAGATAGGAGGCCAAAGACAATAGAATATAACATTGAAACAAATAAAGGTAATGCAGAACAATGTAATATTTCTGAATATGATAGTCTTGACTAGGAATCTATGATAACATAGACAACGTGAAAATGTACATGTTTGAAGATATTAGTTCCACATGCTAAATACTGTGGTACAATAACGCATTCTTATTATACTTACGGGATGATCAGATTCCAGCTCCGAGCCGTAACTAAGTATCTGGTTTGCAAATCGGTCAAGCTCGCAGATTTTTCTTGGAAACCATGGGACTGAACAGATAAAGAAAGAAAAATTGATATACAGGAAGGTTTGCTTAAGGTTTTAGTGTAAGCTCATCCTACAAGGCTGGAGTTCCCGCCTTCCTCTCTATTTCTACTGAAGTCGACAACAGGGTAACGCCCGTGGTCTGAAAGGAGTTCGTCTACTCTCCACTGAGCATTCTCATTTTTTATGGGAGATATCGTGAGGGTACATATCATGATGTAGAAAAAAAGCTTTATTCTTCCGAATGACCTATGTTCACTTCTAGAATTGCTTTTCCTTTTGTTTTGGCGTCTCCTCATTTCTTTGTGTATATCTTTCCGTATTATGTTTTTTCGTCACAGTGTACATGTTGTGACGCTGTTTTGTATATTTCCTTTCAACTGAAAGTTAACGCTGTGATATATATTGTCCGTTACTTTTACCTTCTCGCTATTGTATATTTTTATTACTTAACGACATATTGAATAATAGGAATACGCCAAACTCTGACATCATCAACTTTGCACACCCCAATCGGTCTAACATTTCAAATTTCAGTAGGAACTTAATGCCATGATTTACGATATTAGATTCAACAGAATGTCAACAATACTTTTGTAGTCGGGATAAAATATTGCTTATCTGAAATATAAGTATCTGTATGTCATAGGGCCAGTAACAAACCGTGCTACGTATATGTTATTGTTTGCTGAACAAAGCAAATTAATACAGGCTCCCAACAATAAAACAAAACGTTTCAAAGCCAGTTTATACTTCAGTGACACAGATATGGTACACACACATAAATAATACACATTCATTTAGGCCAACACTACGAAAGAGCATTAGGGCCATGTAGAACAAAAATCGTTTTTACGTGTAGATAACCCATAATTTCAAGATAATAACTCGAAATTTCGATTTTCTAACTCGAAATATCAAGATAATAACTCGAAATTTCGATTTAATAACTCGAAATTTCAAGATAATAACTCGAAATTTCGACTTAATAACTCGAAATTTGGACTTAATAACTCTAATGCTCTTCCGTACAACACAGATTGTGCATCTGTGTCAAGTTCCATATCCTTACAACCTTACCATACAAGTGTGGTGTGGTATTCTATACTGGAAAAACACATGACATGGACATCATTTCGGCGCCTTTAAACTCTTTGTAAAGACAATCACTAAAACAGATACCGGAATCAGAGGCGTACCTGATCCTGGTCCTTCGTCGGCGCCATCTCGTGTTAAGATCTTTAATGTTGTTGTACGGACACGCAGTTCGTCAATCATCTCCTTAAATGTTGCCTGTTGGTGAGAGTCACAGTTGACGAAGAAATCATAGCTGTCCTTTCCTCTTTTGGACGGGCGAGACTCAATATGGGACAGGTTCACCTTGTGTTTCTGTAACAATATCAATACATCAATCTGATAACTGTTCGTTTTCGTCAACTTCTTTTATAAAAAATACTAATAGCTATTCCTTTCTCAAAATATGTCTGAGGCAAATTATTTTTGGGTTATGTCGGGGTTTTTTTCAGTTTAAATTAGCCTGATATTGACATGCAGTGACAATTAAACGATTAATTCCATTTGACATGATAGTTTACTACAGAAAGCCTGACCTAACTATGACGGCAGTCAATCAGCTCCCAAGATGTCAAGATTGACCCAACAATGAACACCTCTATACAACGACGAAGGCCAGTCTGACAATGCCAGTTAAGTTGACCTTACACTAATGACCTTGAAATACCTTGTTAACAGTTAGCATGTCGCTAATGGATGGACCTTTAGCCTTTAACCTTGACCTTACCTTGAAAACTTTGAGACAGCCAGCCAACGCCCCAACTTCCTCATTGGTAGAGAAAAGTAGACTGATGGCATTTTTATCGTGGTCCTCTTCGATGTAGCCATGGTAAGTCTTCAGATCACTGTCTTTCTACAATTACAAAAGACGTCATCAACATCTACACAGTCAACGTCGTCAACAAGACGTCATTATTATTTACACAGTTATCGTCATCAATATCTACACATTTAACGTCATCAACAAGACGTCATGATTATTTACACAGTCAACGTCATCAAAATCTACCATAGTAAACGTCATCAATATATACACAGTTATCGTCATAAACACATACACAATTGACAGCATCAACATCTACACACTTAATGTCATCAACATGACGTCATAAATATATTCATAGTTAACGTCATCAACATCTACACAGTTAACGTCATCAACAAGACGTCATTATTATTTACACAGTTATCGTCATCAATATCTACACGTTTAACGTCATCAACAAGACGTCATGATTATTTACATAGTTAACGTCATCAACATCTACACATTTAACGTCATCAACAAGACGTCATGATTATTTACACAGTTATCGTCATCAACATCTACACAGTTAACGTCATCAACAAGACGTCATTATTATTTACACATTTATCGTCATCAATATCTACACAATTAACGTCATCAACAAGACGTCATGATTATTTACATAGTCAACGTCATCAAAATCTACACATTTATCATGATCAACAAGACGTCATGATTATTTACATAGTCAACGTCATCAAAATCTACCATAGTAAACGTCATCAATATATACACAGTTATCGTCATAAACACCTACACAATTGACATCATAAACATCTACACAGTTAACGTCATCAACATCTACACACTTAATGTCATCAACATGACGTCATAAATATATTCACAGTTAACGTCATCAACATCTAAACAGCAAACGTTATCAATATATATATTTACATTTGCGCTGCAACCCACTTTATGAACATTGCCAGCGGAATCGCATTTCATTTGAGTATGAAAGCAAAACCTCCCGTGACGTAACACGTGGTCTGCTTATAACGTCATGGATTAACCTTGTTCAATGAGAGTCTTGTCGCTTCGCTTCGGATAACATGGAGAATGTCCCTGCGTCAAACGCTCAAATGACTACGGTTAATTATTTGCGCCAATTTTATTTAAATATGGCTGTTCCGCTAATGTCGTTTAAAGGACGACGCATATACAAAACGCCGTTAATAAATTAATTATTTAAGAACAAATAATGAAATTAAACAATTGTTCTATAGTAAAAATGTAAATATATGGCTTTAACGGCGTTTTTGTAATTTTCATGCCGGTATGAACGGAAATCGGTTACATCCATATTAAACATGAAGCCAAAATGACCTTACAACTATTAACAGATCTGTTTTAATTGTTAGAAAAGTCAGACGGATATAGGAGGATTCCCAAATAAGCAAAGATATGGCAAGGAAAACATAGTTGCTTAAGATGTGTCCTTTCAAACTTACGGCCTTCCAGTGTATTTAAGTGACGGAATCTTCAAAGATAAGGGGTGTTACTGTATAGAGGTACATGTATTTGATAGTTTAATAAATAGTACTTGATAAATCACTGCCGTCCATGAAACACTTCTAACATCGAAATGCGGTAAATTAATATTTGTGCCTCGCTTGAAAAATCCGCTCGGTGTTGAATATGGGTGAAGATGTCAGCCACTTCTTTATGGATGAAGATAAAATGGGAATGATTTTTTCCCATTTTACAGTGTTACTGTTTTTAAGTGGACACACTTTTAATGTCACTACACTATCCTCATTACCTATGTCGGCGAAGGTGTCTGTATAGCAGTTAATGTTGTCAAAACTGTCACAATTCTGATCTTCTAGTGGGAAAATATGTATTATTCATGATTAATCCTAACATTCCAAACAGTCATTCTCCTAGCCTGACAAACTTCGGATGACACCGTTAATAAATATAGGTTTAAGGAATATCTCAGTTCTTTCCATGTTGTATATTCCATGAATATCGCATAGCAATGTACGTGTACAGGTAAATAACATTAAAATGTTATGGGCATGAACATGAACTCAAGCTTTCTGCAGTTTACATTTTGTTAATTGTCCAAGAAATCGCCCACATTTCCATTTTTGACATTGTAACACGTATGCTTTTATGTGACTTTATATAAATTATTCCATGTTTTGGAAGCATGCCATTTTTATTAAATGTAAATTTACTTTAAATTGTATTAATAATTCTCGGGGTTTTGTTTATTGTTTTAGTTATCAATGAAATACTAATGGTATGAAATATTATCTATATAAATACTAGCAGTACCTGTTACTAACATATACACAGATACAGAAACGACACACACGTAACTAACGGACGGACAGCGGACGATAAACAGACAGAAGTAGGATCACTTGACCAGACGAATAAGACAGACGAACAGACAGATAGTCAGTACTTGAAGAGGACTAAAGCCGGACGTCATACAGACATACCAGAGCACACATGAGCAGCTGGGCGATTGACAAGTTAATACGGTATAAGTGTTGGCCTAGCTATATTGTATACAAGTCATGTAAGTCCAGCTTGTTTTACAGTAATTGTCATAAACTGGCCCAGCATGGGAGCAATTCCGTCTTTGCGTATTGCAGAGTTATCTTCTCTTGGGAGCAGGTATTGATTGTTACGTCACTTGTTTGTGATAGTAACGTCATCAGTTTTTGAGAAAACGACGTAATTTTCTCGCACAAACCAATGACGGAACAATCAATACCTGCTCCCAAGTGAAGATAACTCTGCAATACGCAAAGACGGATATAGGGGAAACTGGCATAGTGACGATGGAAACATCTAAAGCTTACCTATGGTAAACACACACAAAATAGCACGGGGTTGTCTTGATACAGTTTAGTCAAAATTTTATTTTATGGTAATCGATCGATTTTTTTCATTTTATTGAAATTTCATTAGAATTTAAGGTGATTAAAACATACACGTAGGTACGTCAATACATGCTATAGTGTCAAAATTCATTGTATATGTAAACAAATAAGTAATGCAATGAAAATATATAGCGATGCATAGAGTTTAAAAAGTTAAATTCAACACAAATGTTAAAATATTGGGGGTAAAAAACCCGAAATACCAAATCTTCCTCATCAACGTCCCATTTGTTTGAACCGAATGTAATAATTAACCTCGCCTACCATCACCGTGTGTATGTCCACTTGTAGTGAAAGGGGGGTGGCCATATTTACATTACAGGTAAAAGTTTGGGGGAAAACATAAACAAAATCGCAACCTATTTCTACTTTGAGTTATGAGACCGTATTGTGGTTAAAACAATACGTACGAAAACCTTCAAATGGCCCTGCCGTTGAATTACCGATACTACCCTTTTAGAAAGACGAAACAGCTGCATTGGTGCAGAGGTGTCATTCAATTTTGACATATAACGTCTATTACCAAATTTTAAAGGTGCAAGTACATGCGTACATAATTCCAAATTGTATTTATGTAAATTATTCCTCGTTCCCATCATTAAATGACCGTAGCTGTTGATAGGACGTTAAACAATACTAAACCAAACCTCCCCCGTTCATACATGCATGAACACTGGAAAAATACAGATTAAACACCTGTGTCTAAGCTCCACCTGTTGATATATATGCCGACATAAAGACTTTTACCACCCTATGAAAATGACAGCTTTAAGTCTGGGCTATATTTAGGACAGTTTCCATTATTGAACGGCATATTTATGCTGTAGTCACATATTATTTCTGTTGTGGTCAGCTATATGAGTTATATAGTTATCTTGAAAAAAGTTATGTTATTTTGATAAACTGTTTGAAAGTTGCATCGAAATGGTTTATCGTGACGTTGATAACACACAAAAAGTCGAGTTCAATGTCAGGCCGACATATCTGAAGGTAGATTGCACTGTGCAAGGTTATTGCGACACGTGGGCTGTTCACAAAACGATTATTGTAATTTAACAGTCCATTTAAATGTGCTAGTAGGTCGACAGTATAAACGACACGCGCTTCATCGTAAATATATTTATGAATAAAGACATATTATCCCAGCATGACCTACAGATCCGTGGCCATACAGATAGTCTAGTTGTGGTCACAAAACATTGATGTATTACAGCCCAAGATATTAACGTTGTCACCATAGTACAGTGCGGAGGTGTCCATACAATAGCAATGATTTGGCCACGTGAAAGTGACAAGCTAGCTATTTTGTGGCCACAAAATCATATATGTAGTTGCCGCAAGCTAGCTATGCTGTGGCCACAAAATCATATATCATATATATGTAGTGGCCGCGAGCTACGCTATGTTGGCCACAAAATCATATATCATATATGTAGTGGCCGTAAGCTAGCTATGTTGTGGCCACAAAATCATATATGTCGCGGCCACAACCTAGCTATGCTGCGGCTATAAAATCAGTTGGTTTGGCCCAAAGAAATATTGTTAACTATATTGTGCGGTGAATGTGTATATAAGATAGCTAAGCTGTGACCACAATATAGCTTTCTTTATGTAAACTCCCGTATGACCTAAAACTGCCACCATTTGTACGTGTACGTTCATATATCAAAAGTTTTTTTGTGGCGCTGATAAAACACACACAAAAATGGGTTCACTGTTAGGCCGCCTTATCTGGAGGTACATAACGCTTATTCAGGTCAAAGCTACACCTAGACTGCCTACTAAACGATTCGTGTGCGAGTCTTGACTTTTGTATATATTGATCATGTACGAACTTTTTGAGAATTACGTAAGAAATAAAGGGTTCTGAATAATGCATAATGCCGGTGTGAGTTCGTATATGATAAAAGAGAGTTTGTACACCTAAACTGTAAAAATACAACGCAAAAGCATTTTTAATGTAGCAATTATGTACCAAATTTATTTCAACAAGTGAAATTACTCGCTCGCTGTTAGTGTGTATAGCATTTATGTAGCTCGTGTAATCTGACGATACAGGATTGTCCTTGTTTTACAACACTTATGAAACAGGTTTTTGGCACGGATGTTAGCGCGCGGATGGTCTTAATGTGGGAGGAAACCAGAGTACCCGGAGAAAACCGCCGTGCCCGGGCAGGTGACCCCATACCTTTCGTCACTTATGGTGACGTAAAATCATTGTAAACGAAAGTCTCCACGTATAGGTCTTTATATATTTTATAGCAGTAATTGGTTATCCCACTAGCGGTGATTGGTTAAAACCTATACACAGGCTCATATTGGCCATTGCCTTTTAAATAACACTCCTCTTACTAAAATCTAATAATCCCATTTATTCACGCATGTCAAGTTTTGACGTGATATATTACATATCCTGTTTATTGGCCGACAACTGATTGTGAGGTACCATTTAATGTCGGTGATCATTTTCAAGTGCATTGCTTGATAAAACCTTCTTTTTTTGTATCACGTTTGTCGATTTACTTAAGATAAAATATCAGTGTTCAGATATATAAATTAATCTCATAGTCAATAAAGTAGCATGCTTAAAAGTCAACACCATCATTTATCTCCTGTATTTGGTATACACTTTATCATGTAAATTTAGGATCTTATCTTTTCTGTTCTTTCTTAACATTTTTCTTCTTCCTAATGTCTCCCTTGACAATGCCTCACTTTTGGCCTTTAGTTGAGCGTTCGCCCCTGTGAGGAAGGGTTTGGGTTCTGTCCCCTGGCCGAGACATACCAGAGTCTGTAAAAATGGTAGTTTCTGCTCCCACTTAACGCTCAGCAATTTAGGAGTGGGGCAACTGCTTCGCCCGTTGTCAGTATAATGTGAGTCCGGGGGGGGGGGGGGGGGGGGGGTGGGGGGCCATCAGTTCTGAGCAATCACAGAGAGGCAAACACGAACATATCGCAGCCTCCCAAAACACACACGAATACACTACACGCATGCATCTTGCACGCAGGGGAGACAGTCCTTAAGTGACCAATGCTGTTGATAGGACGTTAAACAATACCAAACCAAACCAAACCAACATACGGTAGTGATGTGCGTACTAAATGGTTGTGTTTTATCTAATGTTGTATTGAACAATGACAAAGGTAGTAGTCAAAGGACAACCAATGACTACTGACAACAACAGTACAACTGTTTATTATAACGAACTAAAAATAATGACAAGTGTCTTACCTGGAAAATTTCTTCCAACAATTTCTCGCTACATATTGTAAATTTGCATATATTGTCGGTAAATCTGAAGTGATTTGCAATTATAAATTTGAAAAAATTGTCGGTAAATCTGAAGTGATTTGCAATTATAATATTACAAAACGAACATCATGTCATTCTGGTTTTGTTTCGCTCTTGTTGGTAATTAACTACAAATCATACACGAGTGTTAATTAACTCATAATACGCCGTGTATTTGTGTTCATGGTCGTGTGTGGGTTTTTTTAATGCTTGCATCAACATTAATCACTATTCTAGTTCATAGCAACTAATATTAATTAGCCTATTGAACCAAGTATGTGGGAAATATTCTTCCTTTGTTCCTTTTCCAAAGTATAAATGATTTCATTTTAAACCTCACTAATTCCTTCTCAAGTCCTTAAAAAACTACCTATGTAATAATTTTAAACGAACTTTAAACGAAATTGGATCATTGTCCTTTGAAGCTGCGCCTCTCGCCTCGAATAACGTGAAAACATTGTTAGCTGCAAACATTAAGGTGACGTTAGGCTGTTCCAGGAATATCGCTTGCAGTGACGATACAGACACTTAAATACTGCAAATAGCACAAGATCTTTATGTTTATGTAACTAATTACTACACAACTTGAACGGTTTATTTTGACACCGTAATATAATGACCACGTCAGAGCTACACGCCTCATATAAAGCGCCGTCTTTGCAAAAGTTCTTATCCATGTTGTGCACGGCTATTACTGTTATGGCGCGTTATGTAAATATTTGCACACCAGCCGTAAACGGCCCTGTATTACTGTGTGCAACAGCAGGGTGACACCTGTTTAGCAGATATATATTATTCGTATTAAAATGTCAGAGCGTAAGTATACAGCGTATGCCGTGACCTACCTTAGGGCTTTTCTCGCAATGTTATTCATATTTTTAGGAATGTCTGCATCTTGTTCATTATGTATGAGGATTTGGAAAATAACTGGAAAAATATCGATTAGCCGATTATACTTTTGGGGTTTATTTTTGTAGGCTAAACATATTTTATTGCATCACTACCGTCCCAGATATGAGATTAAATGATGAAATAGTCTAGTCACGTATGGAAGGTTAAAATGACAAATGTGTCCTTAAGTCCAGACGGACATCATATAGCTGTAGGCTATATATCCTAAGTTTCTGGTGGAATAACACTAGGCTCTCGGGGGGAAATGTGTACGCTGTCTTAACTACAATTCATTTGTCTTCCTTGTCCAACATGAAAATTAAACAGTGTAAATATAAATGGTTACGGAATACCACTGTGACGTATTACAGAGTGTTATATAAATACACATGGCTTACTTAACACTGAAAAGTAATACTTGTAGAGAAGTATGCTTTATAATGAATACTACATTGTCAAAAGCTGACAACGAACGCATATGATAGTGAATGTCAAAATTGGTCCTATGGTCAACGAAATGGGTATACCAATGTAAATTAAGAATTAAGATACAGCATGTATTTTGAGACCTTCCCCTACACCGGACAAAGGGCATCGAAAACTCATCTCTTTTTCTCTTGCTAACATTAAAACACACTAAAGCCAAAACCCGCATTTCATTGACCTACTATACGTTAGCGACCTGTTATAGTAAGACACCGTCCTAATGTCCCATGTTGATTGTAATAGGAAAATTTCATTATTTTTACCAGATTACCTGTTCATTTTAGTAATAATATTTTTCAGTATATTTATCACATTACATGTCGATTTATAATGTCGGCTTATCGGGGACATGGCCAGTTCAGTGACTGAGTATTAAGCCACGTTGAGTTATTAGGTGCCTCAATAGGGATTAGATAAGATTATTGTGTGTCGGTAGGTGCCCTACCAGTGGGGATTTATTGGGTTATAACATTTAGTTCTTGCCATACAACATTCGTAATTGTTCACAAAACAAAGTGTTCATGCCTTATAAAACACATTAAACAGTAAATACGTGTATCGTTTTAACTTCTTTGTGTAAACGCAATTAAGATCAATGCAAATACACGATAAAAATCGATAATATGCGTCCAGCGTTTCGCACTAAAACTAAAACAGGCGCTTGAGATTAAAATAAATCGATATGTGGCTATGTTTACCAGTTTTGTGTTACAGCCCACAACGCGCTCAATACAGGTCACATGTATTTTAGTTTGTTTTAAACACAGTCACCGCACATACTCAAAACATAAATGTACATGGAACTATATATTTATTGGACAGATAATGGCTGGCGCGTATCCAAAAACAGCAAAGTAGTATGTCCTGTTTGTTTTATGAATGGCGTTCGATATTTTACAGAGTAGATCTATGTCGGGTTAGTATGATGTATATAGGTTAAACACTTACCACAGTGCCGTTGTCGATTTTAGACCGTTTTGCTGGAGATATCCCCGCATCCATGTTGTCCTGTCAAATATAAATGAATCTCTGTTTACAGTAGCTCTCTGAAATGACCTTCACACACACACACCCCTACAGGAGGAACGTTCTGATTGGTCAATCCAAACACACCTCCCAAAACATCTTCTATAGACTGTTTCAACTATTTACCACATGACATTCTAGAAACAAATTTAAACAGGCTTATTTCATGCAGAAAAGTATGGAAGTTAACAAATAACCTACGTCTGTCTCAAAACAACGAATGTTTACAACCGATCGTCATTAATTCATAACGAGCAGTGAGTCTTAGTACACGTGTACTGTGGCATAGGGGCAGACGGTCGGAGTCAATGATTATAATTCTAATCCTATATATTGATGTCTCCCGGCTACTCCCGTGAGACATATCTACCTATCATTTCTACAGCCCTATCTGATCTGTGTTTAAGGAAAAGAAATAAAAAAACGGAGTTGTTTACGGAGGCGATCGTCTTAAGTTACCTGAAAAGTATTTTCTGTAAATGATTCTTACGAGACTATAAGATTGAGACTCAGGTTTTCGAATTCAATAAATATGAAAGTGTAATTATGACAGAGCGAAAAGCGATAAGGCCGATCTGATGACACAGTCTGTCATTTCACATGGCATTCCTACATGTCACGGAACACAGCAGATAAAAATATGACATATGGATTATGTAATTATGTATATATTTTACAAATTGAAACACTCTTCAAATTTCTGTTTATAAAACTGAAAAGCAGAAAGGGAATCAATTGTTTTCCCTATAGTACATTAAAGAGAGTAAGGTAGATAACACGGGCTTCCGAATAGGCCATTGATTTACCTGCAGTTTCTAACAGAAGGAACGGAGTGTGTAAGATTTACATGTCTTGGGAAGGATTAATCTCAAACGAATGAAAAAAGCAATGGACGAATGTGTCTACTTAAGTTACGGCATTTTCCGAAACGGACGAAATGCGGATACCAAAGATTGGAATATTTGGTTAATTTTCAAATATATTTAAAATTGGGATTTGTCTCACAGATACTATGAGTGATATGGTGTAATGAGGTCTGCTATCTTAAGTATGGAATTCAATTCTTCCTCATTTACATTTAACATTCACCAAAACTGTTTAACTCCTGTTTGATTGCTCCGTGTTATTGCCCTGAAGCCATCTACGGTGAGGACAACGGTCTAGGAAGACATTGTCGAAAAGAGATAGTAACTATATATAGGTAGGGCAGCAAAGATAAGATAACGGTTTCAAATGGTGCAATCGGTCTTCCCCCGGGGGGGGGGGGGGGGGCACGTTAGTCGCCTCTGACGATAACTCGTAAACTAAAAACATCACATACTCAGCAATGAAACTGTCATTATACTCATCGCTATACTACAATAAGTACAGTACCTAGATAATGCATCGTACACCTCTCAAGACCAGCATTTCTAAAACCGTTCACAATATAATTAAATGCAAAATTACGAAATGTGTAATCGTTTGTTTAGTGGTGGACATCGTCGCAAGACCTCAGCGACAAGAACGTCTAGTCTTGAGCACATACAAGAATGTACTGGTAACTTGATAGACAGAACATTTCAAAAAACGTAAAATCCTCATGTCTTGTAGCATTTTTTTTCTTTACTTTAGATTTTTTCTATTATATGCCGTTTTAAAAGTAACTGTTATTTATACTCATTATTAATTATATCCCGTATAAAAAAAATAAAAAGTTAAAAAGAATGGAACAGAAAATCTTGAATAAGCTAAGTTTGACCTTTGACCTAAATATTAAGAATACTGGCTCGTGGGTTAGAGAGGCCCTATCACGAAACCTTGGGACAACATTAGATGGCTAAGCTGTTAAAGGCTCTGGTATCCTTGTGTAATCTAGAACTCATATCGGTAGAAAACTGTTGAAATTACGGATGACTGTGATAGACATGTACCCAATCTACTAATGGAAACAAAACACTAGCAACATAAAACTGTATTATGTAAAAAAAAAATCAGAACAATTTTGAATAAATTTCTCCCGGCGTCTATTTTGATTTAGTTGTCAAAGAAAGAAAACTCGAATACGCCAAAAATAAAATAAAACTTCGTTTGGTGTAAAAATATTGTTTTGATCGTCAAATTAATTATGAAAACAGATTTTTTTAAATATCACATTTTTTAATTGATTTCATATTATTTTATAAATTTATTTTATTTATTTAGTTATAATAGAATCTGTTATTATTTTTGTTGTGCAGTGTAATATCGGTTTTGGTTGATGGTGAGTTTTTTCTCATTTTATTCTGTTTGAAATTGGTGAAAATTGGAAGTTCATTGCATTACAAGGTTTACGTTTCATTGCAAACAGTGTTTATCGATATAAGAATGTCTCTTTCGCTCTTCGGAAGTGGGAAAAAAATCGGCGAGGATATGTGGCCTCATTTTCATACGATATTTTCGTACGTTTGTCAGACTACAAAAAGACCGGTTCATGAATGAAATATATCACCGTTTTTTCAGGTATGGGTTCATTTTGAGCAAGATTAAAAGTGTTTTAAGCAAAACTTAATATATATGCGTGGTTTTAAATCAGTGATTAATGCTAAATGTTTTCTGGACGAACTTCCGGTAATTTTTGTGTCAGTTTACAGACGATGGCCAAACGTCTGAAATATCCTTGTGTAGTGTCCGGCAGGTCACGTAGTGACGAAATATCAAATGGCTGCGCGGAAATATGTAACGCGCGAAAACCTATGACTAGACGATACTTACCTTCGACGAAATATCAATCCAGTCGTAAGTCGAATTGCTCATGACGTCATCAAGTGTTTGGTGACGTACTTCTGGTCCTCCTCCAATCCTCTCTCTCGCCGTCTGATTTGGACTCTCCATTATAACATGAAACGTTAATATAGCTTTCACTCTTACCGAATAACTTCCGCAGTATTTAACTACACATTTGATTTCAAAAGTTGATTCACACTGGAGAAAGTATAATCCAATATTGTTTTTACACACAAATTTTTTGAAGTTTCAACTTCTGATTTCTAGCTAAAACAGAACACGAAACTGTTTTTAACTTCGTGTCAAACTCCTCCTGTCGTTATCAGAGTGGTGGTTCGTATGTCACGTTATCACATTTCCAACTCGTCCTTCAAATCGTTGTTTACGATGTGGGACTCTTCACCGACATTTGAGTATGGAAATAGCACGACTTGCAGGCCTATAATCACGGTAGATGGCGGACACGTCAGGTACCCGTCTACTTAACAAACTTATACCCAATAACGTTATGTCATGTCTGCATGTAATTAGCGGACTGACCACACAGGTTAGCCCTAAGCTGACTTGATCAAATTATACAAGGAAGCTTGGTTAACGAGATGGGGTAGGGAATTCATACTCGTGTGATAAAAAATAAAAGGCATTTTAACCATACAGACAAGCTTATCTAATAAGAGCGTAGCTCTCGGGTGCCGAAGGCTCCCGAGCGAAGCGCTTTTATGTAAACACATGCGTGCGTAAACAGAGTTGCTTCCCCTTACTAGACATTGGCTTTAATTTTTTTCGTCCGGAAGTAGACGTCCAGTGGGGAAACAGGAAGTGTATCAACCCATACATGAATATCTTCAAAAAAACTAATATACATTCTGAGTGAAAGATAAAAGATACTAACAGGCATGCAACTTTTGCCACATGCACAAAAAGTAAAAATGCGGATATTTTCTGAAGATCCTTTTTGTTATCAACCCGGTTCTGTTAATATTTTTACTGTGAGATATCTTCGAAAAACGCCGGCATTAAACTAAATTCCGTCTTTTCGTATTGCACAGTTATCTGCTCTTGTGAGCAGGTATTGATTGTTACGTTATTTGTTTGTGAGAGTAACGTCATAATTTTTTGAGAAAACGACGTATAGTAATTTTCTCACACAAACTAATGACGTAACAATCAATACTTGTTCACAAGAGCAGATAACTCTGCAATACGAAAAAAAGGAATAGGTCAACGTGTACATCCATTTTTCATCATCTAAAATTCCATTAGCTTTTGATTTCAATTTGTTGAGAATATGAACGAAATAAATAACATTTTCGAAAGTCTGGTTATAGTCTTAACATTATTTATTTATGCATCACCACTCATTATAGAAACAATGGAAAATGCATTTATGTCGAAATCAACATTAAATTCTCAGACAACCAACCCAAGTGCAACGCCCTTTTTCAGCAACGTATTACTTTTTCACAACGCATGCCGATTTCCAACTAGTTACAGACAGAAACTGTTTAATTTTATTTGGCATCATTACCTGTCAAACCTTGGTGACAGTTACAAAATTTAAAATTCAAACCGGTGTTTTAGGATGGAACAGTAACTGAGTCTACATATCGATATAACCACAATCTCAGTTACAATCTTTTCTTTTTTTTCAATTTTATTTTTGCAACTAACATCTCTATACATTTTCTTAGACTAATCGTCAAATATGTAATATGCACTTTTTTCTATAGCAATTACCAATCAGTTTTTCCCCAGCTTATCTCAATCGTTCTTTTTGTGCCCTGACGGAAGCACACAGAGGATGTAATTCTTAACGTGGGAGGAAGCTGGAGTATCCGGAGAAAACTCGCATGGTCGGGCAGGTGACCGGAATTGAATCCGGCCATCTTTGTTAAGACGGGCGCGCTATCCACTGCGCCACTCGACTCATCATATACGTTACGCACAAAAACAAATATCTACTTTAGCTTTGACTTGAAGAAAATTGCGTCATTGATGCAAAAATTGTATTGTGAATACATTTTTAGCAATCATCAATAATACAAAAAAATCTACATACGGGAGACCGGGCCAAGCTCGGCCACCCTTGATATCTTTGTTTTTGAGCTTATATTTACAACTTTAAGAATCTTAGCAGTTTAATTGGCTGGGCATTCTTCGAAAAAATGGCGAGGAAAACTCTAATGTAAAATGAATAAATAGGAGAAAATCACTTGCGAGAGGGTAGAAACGGAATTGCTACTTTTTTACGGTCAAATGTGTTACACACTGACAGCTTCAAATGATATACATAAAAGCCAAGCCAATCACTCACTACCATATTGCTGTACGATAAGAATTTATTGAAATATCAATTTCAGCCCGAACAGGTTCGGCCAATGATACCGTGACAAGTTCGGCCCATGTTACACATACAAAGTGGTAAATGATCTAAATGGGGGCCGAACTTACCCGAATGCCTGTCCGAACTTACCCCATGGGGCTTGTTCGGCCATCCGATCTTCCGACAGGAAAAGTTAAATAATGTTCAAAAACGGACGTGCTGCAATACTTTCCAGAACGGACTTAAATAAAATAAAAAAAGGGGGTCGAACTTGCCCCGGTCTCCCCTATTGTTATGTCGGTCGAGTTTGTGTTTTTATTGTTATTCCTCGACTTCCCGACTTTAAAAAAGGTTTATCTTATCTCATTCTGAAAGCAGTATCCTGAATCAGTAAATATCGGGGATCAACAAAAGCTACGCTCTTTTAAGGCTTTGCCTTTTCATATTAATATAATATTGTATTCTTGTTGATTAACAAAATATGATCTAATCAATTTTAAATGAGTTTATTATCACTACAATTATATATCGTTTATAGCCAAATTCTCCGTTTTTGTCACGTTGGTTCTGGATGACGGTCAAATCTTTCGACCTGTTACGCAAACACGTCGATTACAAATTGTTTTCAAGAAATTGTCAATCTGATTAAAATACAAATGTTCAGGATGCACTACGTCTGAATGCCAAATGTGATAAATTAACATTTGTTTTCTAATTTCTAATCAGATTGAGAATTTGCCAACACATGTGTTACATGTATTGTGGAAAACAGGATGAGATGAGAAAATGTGGAGTGAAACATTAACGAACGCCGGGCTATCAATTCAAGCACAATACACAAAAAAACACAGCACCTGCTGATTATATATATTCTTTCAAACCAACATGTAAAGTAATGTGTTTTCTGATCTACTATATTGCTAGCCCGAGTTTCCTCTGGCGCTAATTATAACACCACACATAAACATTTTGACAGATAGATGTCTGGTGAGCCCGAATTTCCTCTGGCCCTGACACCACATGTAGGCATTTTGACAGATAGATGTCTGATAAGCCAGTGTTTCCTCTGGCCCTGACACCACATGTAGGCATTTTGACAGATAGATGTCTGCTGAGCCCCAGTTTCCTCTGGCCCTTACACCCCACTCAGACATTTTGGCAGATAGATGTCTGGTGAGCCCCAGTTTCCTCTGTCACCTCACTTCCACATTTTGACAGATAGATGTCTGGTTAGCCTGATTTTCCTCTGGCCCTGACACAACACTTTAACATTTTTACAGATAGATGTCTGGTGAGCCCCAGTTTCCTCTGGCCCTTACACCCCACTCAGACATTTTGGCAGATAGATGTCTGGTGAGCCCCAGTTTCCTCTGTCACCTCACTGCGACATTTTGACAGATAGATGTCTGGTTAGCCTGATTTTCCTCTGGCCCTGACACAATACTTAGACATTCTGATAGATAGATGTCTGGTGAGCCAGGGTTTCCTCTGGCCCCGACACCACACCTAGACACAGATACAGGTCTGGTGTGCCCGAGTTTCCTCTGGCCCTGACCCCACACTTAAGACATTTTGACAGATAAATGTCTAGTGAGCCCGAGTTTCCTCTGTCGCCTCACTTCGACATTTTGACAAATAGATGTCTGATGAGCCCGAATTTCCTCTGGCCCTGACACCAAACTTAGACATTTTGACAGATATATTTCTGGTGAGCCCCAGTTTCCTCTGGCCCTGACACAACACTTTAACATTTTTACAGATAGATGTCTGGTGAGCCCGATTTCCTCTGGCCCTGACACCATACTTAGACATTCTGACAGATAGATGTCTGGTGAGCCCCAGTTTCCCCTGGCCCTGACACCACATGTAGGCATTTTGACAGATAGATGTCTGGTTAGCCTGAGTTTCCTCTTGCCCTGACACCATACGTAGACATTTTGACAGAAAGATGTCTGGTGAGCCCGGGTTTCCTCTGGCCCTGACACCACATGTAGGCATTTTGACAGATAGATGTCTGATAAGCCAGTGTTTCCTCTGGCCCTGACACCTCACTTAAGACATTTTGACAGATAAATGTCTGGTGAGCACGAGTTTCCTCTGTCACCTCACTTGGACATTTTGACAGATAGATGTCTGATGAGCCAGAGTTTCCTCTGGCCCTGACGCCACACGTAGACATTTTGACAGATAGATGTCTGGTGAGCCCCAGTTTCCTCTGGCCCTGACACCACATGTAGACATTTTGACAGATAGATGTCTGGTTAGCCTGAGTTTCCTCTGGCCCTGACACCACACTTTGACATTTTGACAGATAGATGACTGGTGAGCCTGAGGTTCCTCTGTCACCTCTCTTAGACATTTTGACAGATAGATGTCTGGTTAGCCTGAGGTTCCTCTGGCCCTGACACAACACTTAGACATTTTGACAGATAGATGTCTGATGAGCCCGAGTTTCCTCTGGCCCTTACACCCCACTCAGACATTTTGGCAGATAGATGTCTGGTGAGCCCGAGTTTCCTCTGGCCCTGACACCACACATAGGCATTTTGACAGATAGATGTCTGGTTAGCCCCAGTTTCCTCTGTCACCTCACTTAGACATTTTGACAGATAGATGTCTTGTTAGCCTGAGTTTCCTCTGGCCCTGACACCACACTGAGACATTTTGACAGGTAGATGTCTGGTGAGCCCGAGTCTCCTCTGGCCCTGACACCACACGTTGACATCTTGACAGATAGATGTCTGGTGAGCCCCAGTTTCCTCTGGTCCGGACACCACACTTAGACATTTTGACAAATAGATGTCTGGTGTGCCCGAGCTTCCTCTGGCCCTGACACCATACTTAGACATTCTGATAGATAGATGTCTGGTGAGCCCGATTTCCTCTGGCCCTGACACCACACGTTGACATCTTGACAGATAGATGTCTGGTGAGCCCGAGTCTCCTCTGGCCCTGACACCACACGTTGACATTTTGATAGATAGATGTCTGGTGAGCCCGATTTCCT